GCCCTAGTCTTCAAATTTGCAGATACTTGGTCCTCAAATTGGGTCCACTTGCCTCACGGTCTCCAGTTTCCAAAAGATTTTTTTTTGGGTGGGGGCGGGGGAAAGGTGGGGGGGGGGGATTTTAGATGGAGAAATAGTTGTTAAATGGGGACACCGGCTCTAAAACGTGACGTAACTTCCGATTTCCGCGACCTCAAAGAAATGTTAGGGGAGGGAACACTCGAATAAAAACACCCCCAACCTCGACAACCGTTGCCAGGGTCCCCCCCTCCCTCCCCCTTCTCCCGTGGGACCGAACGTTCAAGTTTTATGTCTCGTCAACAGCTCGAGAGAGATAAAGGTCATGTTTGGTATCGAGGCTACTGTCAAATCACCACGGTAACTGGTGGGCATTCCTTTTCTTTTTGATTTTTTTTGGTTATATGTTGACGGACGTGGCGTGGCCTTGACATTGCCGACAATGGGCGTGTTGATGTTGTTTTAGCGTACAAGAACTGGGGGAGAGAAAAAAAAACCCCACACAATCCAGCGAGCTTTAGAGGCACTAATATAGGATTGTTTTGTTTTTTCCCGTCCTCTATTATCTCTATACCCCTTAATAACGTACAATCAAAAAATGTGTTTTTGATCATACCAATCAAAAACTGTTGTTGTTTTTTTTTTTTTTGGGGGGGGGGGATTTTTTGATCCCAATCTTTTCCAAAAAATAACACACATAAATACAATCTTAAGTGTTTTTTTGTTTTTTTATTTATCCCCTTTTTTATTTATTCCTATTCCCGTCCTCTATTATCTCTATACCCCTTAATAACGTACAATCAAAAAATGTGTTTTTGATCATACCAATCAAAAACTGTTGTTGTTTTTTTTTTTTTTGGGGGGGGGGGATTTTATGATCCCAATCTATTCCAAAAAATAACACACATAAATACAATCTTAAGTGTTTATTTGTTTATTTATTTATCCCCTTGTTTATTTATTCCTATAGCCACCAGTCACAAATCACAAGCAGCCGACTACATGGGCGCCCGCAGGTAGTGGCAAGGTGGGGCACTTGCGCCCCCCCCCCTGGATTGATTGGATAAAAAAAATTTAGACAAAAATAGACAAAAAATGTATTAAAATAAAGAGAAAATAAAGAGAAAGTAACTAAGCTGATGTCCTGTCCGTTCGTTCACCATAAAAATACGCTACAGTAAATTAAAACTATATTAAAACATTACTAAAAATATTTTGTCCCCCCCCCTGGAAAGTTAATTGATTTTATTTTGCCCCCCCCCCCCTAGAAAGTTTTCTGCGG